GGTTTCAGAGGTGCCAGGGATATTTCCTAAAAAAAAAAAAAAAAAATTTAAAATGCTCTCTGAATGGAGGAATTAAGACAAAATGTGTAACATTTCTTTGCAGGCTGTTGCATAACCTGGTATGTGAACAAGAAGATACAGCTGAGGACCAGAGTATAGAATATGACTAATACAGAGTAATTTACAATGTTTTCCTTATATAAAATATCTTTTTATATATATTAAAAATGTGTATATATATCTCTTTACATACGTAAAAATGGTTTCTTAACTGAGTTTAAAAAACCAATCCAGTACCGACTGAGTTTGGCCACATAGCTCAAACTGGGGTCCACTGCCTCCATTCGGTAAGCATCATAAGGTAAGCATTGCGAAAAGCCTTAGCACTGAACAGTATTATTCCAACCTGACAAGCTACTCCAGCATGAGCAGAACTGAACATAATAGGGCTCTGCGTGGTTATTTCTTTCAGTGAGGCTCTGTGTAAAGGTCTGGATTACAGCCTGTTAGAAATTATTACACTTGCTCAGAGAGTTCTTTCTCTGTTCTTTCAGCTATGAAAATGAGGATTAGCAAAAATGGAGAAACTGCTGCACTGTACACAAACTGTCCTAATGTATTTTTATCACAAAAGGCTATATATTTCTAGGCAAAGCAGTGTTCAGAGAAAAGGAAATATAGTTGTAAGCTACTTAAAGTACAAAGTTTTCTATTACAACAGTTACTAGTATAAAACATTACAGAAAATAAAAAGCTGAGTCAGGTGTAAAATCCATTTAAATTAATTGAAAGATCTCTTTTTTCAAAGACTTCTGGATCAAGCTCTGAATCACATGTGATATATAAACGTGATATACGAAACAACAATCTTTTTCTCTTAGCTAATAGAGAGAGTGACACTAATAAATATGTACCTGACCACTGGATATTAGAGTATTCAGAAATAATTCTTTATAAAATAAAAAGAATTCATACATATGCATGCCACATAATAAACTCTGTACTATAAACCCACACCTGGGTTAAACTTATTCATGAAATGGAAAGAATACCTGTAGATTTCTGTGGGCTTTTGGTTCAATGCATATGTTACTTTGTAAAAATTTCAATTTATGTGTCCTATACCACTTTACCATATATATCATGGTGAGAAAACTTGCCAAAAATAGTTACAAAAGCCTCACTGCTTAAAAACCAGACAAATGTCTAAAAGAAAGCTCCAAATAAACTGAAAAATTAAAGCAAAGTAGTTATCTTTCTTTTATAAGTAAAATAAACAAAATTACATACAAATACCTGCTGGAACTGCACATTGCTAACCATAGTAGATTTTGCTTGAAAAATCTGACTCAGTGACTTGTTCCTTAGGTTAGAGGAAAAATAAAGTAAATATAGCAGAACACACAAAACTTTCATGGAAAAACATCTGGTATGTTATATGTATGATATATGCATCTTGTGCTTCTGATATTTTTCAGTAATGGCAAAGGTAAAGTATCTGAGCCCCACCTTATGGAAATAGTTTCTAGGAGCTTAAATTTTAATGTATAGAAAAACTTCCCTGTTTCATTCACAAGCTAGAGCTGTACTCTGAAATCAAGAATTTCTGGTTGACACAAAATATTCTGCTGTCCTTTAGCAGCTTTTCGCTCTGAGCCAAAAAAAAAGGAGGAAAGAAAAATCATTTGCATCAGTCAGATTAGAAAGATAAATTGAAGGTGAGATTTGTGCTGCTAGGACTTGCTCCAGAGTACAATGAAGACAACAGAAAAGCTTTCATTTCCATCAGATCTTTAATATATTTTGCATAACATGAACAAAACTACTTTTTTTGTCAATCCTTTGCTAGGAGAGGCACTGCATTAAGACAACCATGGCATTCATTTCTTCCTCTTTAGGAAGTTCTTCATAACACAACAGTTCCTACGTATCCCAGCGTAAATGTGGGAAGAAGTTAAGTCATTGTGAGGAACAAAGTGGCTTTTCCCTACTGTTTCAAAGGCTAAAAGCAACTATATTACCAGTAAGAGAAAAATTCCAACAGAGGAACTGAGAAATAGTCATCCAGTGAATCAGCAAATCATACACAGCTGCAAGAAATGTTAATGGTAACCAAGGACAAAATAGACACAGCCAGTAAGACAATCACCTACCATTGCAGTGGTCTGTCTGGTTTCGCAGGGAAGCAGAGGATTCTCTTCCTCCAATTTTTAATCTAATACTTTTAGAAGTATTACATTCATTAGCAAAGAGAAGGCAAAGCAATGCACAAAAGCAAATACTAGTTACAGAAACTGTGTTTACTCTGTGTGTATATACGTACTTTTTCCTACTGGATAAGCCTTTTTGGTTTTTTTCTCCCCCTCAAAATTAGATTTGTGTTTGCATGGTATCTGCTTATACAGTAGTCAACCTTTCCTCACCCCAAGAACCTTTGAACCCACTGGCAGATATCAAATTTGATGTGCGGTGACAGTCTCACAAATACTAAATTCCTACACGGTGTGAACATCAGTGGCTGGTGAAGAAAAGAAAGGCAAAACAGTGCCCTCCGCGGGAGGAAAGCCCACGGCATGAACTCCACAGCAGGCTCCCATTTGTCCAGTGAATCATTGTTCCTGCCCAAGCAGCAGTTAAGTTACCCTGTGAAGAACTGGGCATCAGGTAAAGGAATAGAGGGGGGAACTGCAGGGAAAGGAGAAGGGACAGCTGAGGCTTCGAAAGTGGTGGAGACAAGGGAGCAGACTCTAAAAGCATAATACACAAGCCCATAGGAAATCAAGCTTCATTAGTTTTGCTGTCCACAGAGCAAATTGTTTACATTGGGCTGCTGCTAACACTGATGCCACCGAGTATGTGCAAAAACATGATGACCTTGATCCTGTCATAAGCTCCACTGCTACAGACTGGAGAGTGTACAAAGCCCCGATGACTGACTCCAGGCAGGAACTAGAGACAATTTATGCAATTTAGCCCCTGAACCTGCAATGAATTCTGCATTGGCCTGTCTTCACAGGGGGAGGGAAGGTTAACTGGCCAGGGCTTTGAGATGGATCTGCTTAGACCGTCTCTTATAGCCAGGTCCCCAGAAAAGACCAAACTTCTAAAACTTAAACAGCCCCCACATGCACACACATTTTATTCTAAATAAAAACTAGGAATGTTAAAATAAAAATGCAAATTGACTAGGGCAGGGAGAATAGTTAAAAATGTGACATACACACCCACGTCCTCTGCCCACTATGTTCTGGCAGGATGGGTCCTTGGTTCTACACTTAGCTTCTATAATACAAATGTATGCCTTCTATGCTGTATTCTGAATGTACTAAATAACTATTGAGCCTAACAGGTTTTTTAATAACTGCAGGTATATGACTGAGGGATGGCAAACTGACCAGTTCTCTCTGATCCCTAGGAAGTTCCTTCTATCCCTACTGAGAGCAAGGGGTTGAGCAAATACTGGCATTCAAGCAAGAAATTCTTTTCTATCATTGTCCTTTAAGTCCACAAAAAATCACATATAGGGTCAGATATCCCTGCTTTCCTAATTACTAGTCAATGACTTGAGGTCGATGGGAATTTGAGTTCTCGGCTTTTGACTAAATTAAGTTTCTGAGAATAGCTTTTAAAGGAAATACAATACCACTGCACAGCAAAATATTCCCTGACCAAAACAAATTTTAATTGAGGTTCAGTATTCTACATATTGAAAGATTGTTCAAGAAAATTACTTCTGATTTTACACAGCATTATATATTCTTCTCCTTTAATCCAAGGACTAACTCTCACCATTTATATTGCTAAAAAAAATGATGATGGCTCAAAGCAGTTTTTAACTGAACTAGGTTTTTTTGAATCAGATACAAGCACAGTCATATCATCTTATCTCACTGATTAAATTCAGGTCTTCTAAGATGTAGCTTTGTAAACCTAAACCAAGACTAAGAAGACAGGCATTTTTATTTACTACAGGCAAATGTGATTTTTGATGAAAACTACTTGAGTGACACAAGCAGCAAAACAATCTTTTCTACTGAGGACACAATGCATCAAATTCAGGCTAAGTCTAGCTGCTGACTTCAGAGGCCTCACATTTAATTCTCTGTAGGGCTGAATTTACCTCATTATAAATAGGAGCAGTAAATGTCACTTTTCATACAGAAGGGAGTCACAGTGTTAGCCAAGCCATCTAACCTCTTTCCCCAGAAAGCAGACTGATCTTTTTTATTTTGTATTTCATCTCAGGACCTCCACCATAACTGATGGGCTAATCTGTTTTAACTTCTTGGTTAATATGAGAACATCCAAGCGATACTGGTAATTGAATTCAGTTTCAAGGTGAATTTCAAATAGTCTCCCCTCCCCAAAGTGTGAAAACAATGAGAAATTTACTGATGCCCTTCTCAAATTCTCAAGATGATATTCCTCACTATAAAGAACAAAGGACCTTAGTACTTAAGTGTCAGTAGGAGGATTGCCCTAGGCTTCAGTTACACCGAAATTCAAAGCTGTATCTCTGATCAAAAGTGATCCTGAAATAAAAAGAACCTTTTTAGACAAATAGAAGCCCTCATCTATTTAAAATGTGTTTAGGACAGATAAACTATGTTGTCAGTCATGCCATGGAATAGTAATAGCAGCTTTAATATTCTCTGATAATATTAGAGAATAAACTAATGTTTCCATTTTTGTATTCAGATTTCTGTCTGGAAATAAAAATCATTAGTAACATATAAGAAATGTTCTAGGTGTTTTCTTTTTAGGGCTATCAGTGCAATGTGAGATACAGACTTCATGTAATGGTACAAATTCTTTCAGAAATATTGTTCACCTGTTTCCTACAATGTCCCGATAATCACAATGTATTTAAGATAGGACTTAACATACTGTAGTATTCTCAGTGGAAAGCTTCAGAACATCTGTTTATTTCAGAGACTGAAGTTGAAGATAAAAATAAGACAAACAAAATCTCAGAAGATATTAATAGTTTCATACTTACCGAGCTCATTAATAAATTCATTGGATTCCTCCCCAGCAATGTTTCTTTTCCAAACCTGGAAACTAAATTGTTGACAGTGAAAAAAACCAACATATGTTTAGTTTTCAACAGAATGTTAATTTAGGTTTGAAGAACCTGATTCTGCAGTGTGTATTGGCCTAAACTTCTATTAAAACCAATGACAGCTGGAGACACACTTCAAGCAAAGACCAGGTCCTACATTAGTGGTATGACATTGTATTTGGCAAAGACTGAGAATGTATAGCTTACGTCAAGCTAGTTGCCATGATGTAGCTACTGTGAAACCCAGCCTGGTTTCAGGAGGTAGCTTCTCTTCAAAACAGAAACACATCACAGAGAAAGTTTGTTCCTTTCATTTAATGTCTTATTTTACCTACAATCACCAAATCATCTTTCTCACAGTCACTCTAACAGTCGGAAGATAAGAAAATGGACCTCAGCTATATGTATGTGGCTGGAGGAATAATACCACTCCCATGTTACCAGTTTTCAGTGCAGGACAACTACTTGTTCTTCCAAAGTCTGTTTGGAAGCGTCAGCAGGATCTAAATGACCTTACAAAGGGAGTACTCAAAGAGAAACAAAGGGATATTAGACTGTTTCCCAGTTTTGACTTTTTCACTGCCTTGCTGGACAAGGACAAGGTTTCAAACATATGCTAAGACACTTCATTAAAGGCAAGGCATTTTGGAGGCCAAGTGGAAAAAGGGAACAAACTTGATGAATGCTACCAATTCAGAGTGCATGTGTACTGCCAGAAATTATGGTGTAAAAGTTATACATTCTGATTTAGTGGCTCTACAGTGTATAAAAGAGTAATTGCCTCTTGTGTTTTAGCTTCACAGTAAGGAACGGCAAAGTGCCGCCTTCTCACATCATTGAACTGTGAGCTCCCGGAGACGGAGCTGGACGTCATTCTGTGCTTGGCACTGTGACCAAAAGTGCCACCTGATTCTACCTGGCTATTTTTCACTGCTGCACAAGGAGCACGGGTTCCTCTGCTGTGGTTAATAAAGCATTTCAAACTGAGTACTTCCACTCTTGGAGACATCTGAAATCTCAATCCACATCCAAATTTTTCAGCTAATCTTTTACAATATTTCCATTCTCTTTGTCTCTTGCAGATTGTGATCTATTTATAACAGCTTAGCTATTTCTAAACCTTGAGAAGACAGAAACTGATGTGTCATTGTAAGGATATGCCTTTGAAATGGTTGGGTGGGAAAAGAAAAAACCACAGGAGGGTGACAAAAGCAGAAAAAATAGTCTTTGTCTATGTAACAATATTAACATTTTTTACCTTTTTTTCTATGCCATATCTCATGACTTCCTAAATCAGCACATCAACTATGAATTCTAAGTACCTATGCTTTTTAAAGTAATTTACTATATTCCTTTTCTTTTTTCCCCTCTCTTCCCCTTGTTCTACTAATAGTTGAGAAAAGGTCTGTTGCCTGCAGGGTTGGACAATTTTATCTGCTTTTAGGATGTACAACCTAGCTCCCTGAGGATTTCTTATATTGCTACAATGTGCTGTTAACTGTTTAGTACCAGAAGGTTCAAAACTGCCAAAGTACTTATGAGGGGAGGAAAAATAAAAAAAGATTATAAGTGCAAAACCCATTGCAAAGCAAGAAAGAATTCTATTTTAGTATAATATATGGATTTTTTTTCACACAGAGAGAAATTCAGACGTGGATCCCATATGAATTATAGGAAAAAATCAGTATGGTCTCCTTATTTCAAAAAGAATATATTAGAGTTGGAAAAGGTTCAGAGAAGTATGCTTAAAAGTTTGGAATGACTTCTCTGCCTGGAACAGCTGAGTAGCCTAGTATACACCAGTCAGGAAAAGAGGCAACTTAGCAGGCATATAGCAGATTTACAAAGTCATGAATTGGAGAAAGCAGGTTAATTTACTCTTTCTTCTCATACACGGATTAGGGCACATCAAATGAAGCTAGTAGGAGACATGTCCAAAGCTTGCAAAGATATTGCGGATGCTAGAAGTCTGTCAAGTTCCAAGGGAGGCTGGACAAATGCATGGAAGAGAAATCCCCAGGCTACTAGATGGAAAAATAAAATAAAAAATGCCACAACATCCAACTCAGGAGTCCCCTGAGCTGAAAACAGAGTGTGAGACATGTTTGCCCTGTTCTTTTCCCCATGCAGCCCCTTAGGGCTGGTTTTGGGAGATGGTGTCCTGGGCTAGACAGTCCTTCAGTCTGACTCTGCATGGTTGGTTTTATGTCTTTCTGTTTCTAAGAGCTGTAATCTTCTGGGGAACAATTAAAATACATAAGAATAAAAATAAATCAATAGTTCTCAAACATTTTGTACCACAGTTTATTTCCCCTTCAGTTGTTCAAAATATTGTGCATTCTTATAATTAAATGTTTCAAGTAAACACTAGATCCGCTTTTGCAGATCACCTTTGGGTCACTGATGGTTTCACGGACCTTTGAGTTGCGTAGGCTACCATGTAATAAGTGCTACTAACCCTCATGCTTTGCCTTAAACAATAGCTTATAGATGTACTGAGTTAGGAAGGCATTTTTCCTATTCTGCAGAGCCAGTCTAATGTACTTAAAACAGTAGCATTTCCTACTAGTGCAGGTCCATCAGTATATGAGTGACAGAAGGAGAAGCCAGAGCAAGCTATCAGCAACTGGCTCCTTCCTGACATCAGTCATATCTAAGTCAGAAAAGCAGTTGTCAAATGTGCCTTGTGTCTTCCATAGCCTTGGCCATTTATAACAGCAACAGCAGGGAATGTTAAGGAAAGCCTAAGATCTCGGTTCCTTCTTTCTTTGTAGCATGTGTGCTGAATAATAGCACTACAAAGACTGCAAATGCCATCAGCTGTGAATTGTAGGGTTTTGTGTTATTCAGGTTGTAGTGGAATAAAAAAGTTAAACAATTACCCTAAACACTATGGAGGACAATTGCGAATCAGCCCTTCCAATGCCTAAAAACCCTTCAGATGACACTCTCAGAAGTAAGACTTCTGATCTTGAAAATTCTCTGGTAAACTGGATTATTTATAATTTCCATTGACAAAAATGAGAATGCGTATGGACATACATGTACATGACACATAGGTTGCCTGTCTACCTTGTATGTCTCTCTCACTTTCTAAATTAATCATTTAAGCATCAACTACCATTCCAAATAGTAATACTGGAGAAGAATTTTTAAAGACCTCAAACTGCAATGTATTTTAAATTTTGACCCAACACCACAGAATTTTAAGTCAATGCAGTATCATTAAAATGGAATGCAGTAACTGGTTACAAAACCTGTCTTATCTTACCTACCTTTAGATTTATTAGCTAAACAAAACTGCTAAACCTTTGGACTCTGAGCTGGGTGGGGGTGATCTCTTTGCAACAACAATGGCTGAACAAATATATATACACACAAGGCTCAAAAGGAGGAAACACATATTGGAAGGTTGGCTACTAATTAACTCAGGCCTATCTGGGAAATGGAGAGAGAAAGTGAACTTAACTACAGTTTCAACTCTATGGAGTTGAACTTTCATTTAGCTATTTACTGAGCTGAAGCACTTTAAAAACATGGCTGAGCTATAGTTTTTTTTATGAGATAGGTAAACACTGCCCACATTCTACATGTTAGATAGGTGTGAAAGATTAACACAGATCTGCAAACAGTTCCCCTTCCCGGACAAGAAACGTGAAGGTTACACAGCATGGGTCACCGAAATCTTTCGCAAAAAGTTTCCAGGTATTTAAGATGAAGTGGCATCTTCTAGGGAGAATGTTTTCCTTCATCTTCTAGAAATAATTTAATATATTCCTGAGACATCTGCTTCTGGTTGTTATTACGCAGTGACAAAGTCACAATCCGTTGTTGCAGTCATTTTGTAGTGAGGAATTATGTTACTTACAAGCATTATGACTGCTTATTGTGAATAACTAACAAAAGCAAACAAATTACTGTGAAACAGAGAGCTGACTGCTTGTGCAAATACCTACAACCTCCTGAAACTGCATACTGGAGGACCTGACAGAATTTTGGGCTTTTTACTTCCGTAAATACTAGACTTTTTTTACTTAAAAAATGAAGAAGGTGGGAAATTCTCAGATAGGTGGGAAATTTCCTCAGAAGAAAAGATAATTTAAATACTTTTGAGGAAAGGAGTGTGGCTGAGTGAGCGCATTTTAATACGGCATGGCTTGCTTTGTCCTGTGCTAAAAAAAAAAAAATCCTCATTTTCTTCTGTAGAGCTGGGTAGCAGCTGATAAGTGGCAGCACTACAGGCTTGCATGTGAAGGAGCAGTCAGATTATTTGTTCAGAAAGAAAAAACATGCACCCATCCCTTCTAACATACATACAAGACCCTGGTCAGATATCTGTTTATAACAGTTTACAGAACAGCTTTTCTTTTCTTTTTTAAAGAAGGGGAAAATATATTCCATGTGTTGATTTGTAAAGCAACACAGAAATTCAAAGCATGTGGTATCTGAATCCTCTTCCTCTGGACCGCATAATCCTGCGTCATTGTGCTATGTGGCATTATCTGGTATATGCACTGCAAACATATAGATAAAGTATACTTACTCTTTAGCTCAATAATAGGAGCTATCTTTTGTGCAATGACAAGATACCATTTGTTATCACCACTGTATAGCATCTTACTGTTTCCACTATAAAATTAATGTTGATATTACAATGAGATGGTAAATGTCACTTTCTTCACTTCACAGAAGGGAAAACTAAAGCAGAATAGTGAAAAAGCTACAAACTTATTTTCAATGCCTGCTTCTTCTGACTATTTAAAGAATGTTGAAAATTGTATGTTGCTATTGTAATTAAGATGGCAGACAGCTGTGCCTGCAAAAATTCAGCTGTCTCTTACTAGGAAGAGACTAGTTGATGGTGAATGTTCCAAAAGGCTCGCAAAAGCTACAGGGATGCTAGTGGTGGCACAGGAAAAGGAATGCACAGTCCAAATGTATTTCATGATTCTCCTGCTCAGTCATGGGGAAAAAAAAGATTTCCATTAACATTTCAGAT